TGCCACTGCAATCAGTATTAGCCTAGATAATAAAAACAAAATATTATCAACTATATTATCAAAAAACAAATACGTACACAACTCTGTACATTTAAATATTTAAACTTTCAACTATAGTCTTCATATGATTTTACTGCCTCACATTTTTTGCTTTTTAAAGTGTTTGACGTTATGTCCAGACAGCATTTCATAAATAAAAGGGAGAAAACAGACAAATGGCTTTAGCGGGCTGTGTGGCGAAAAGGTCTGTCTGATATCAACAAGCAAGTAATAGAAAATCTTCTCTGTGCCACGGAATGCTAGAAGACCAATTTAAGGCCATACTTTTGTGTAAAGTTCAACGCCAGCAAACGGAATGTTATTTTCTCCGGCTCTATATTTTCAATACCTGCTCTGAGAAAAGAAAATGAAAATTAATACAAGGGCTGCGCCTTCCAAAAGAAGCCATTTGTCTTCTTGATTATCTATTTGGTTGTCAGGGTTTGAGCTATGGCACCGACCCGCTCCTTTGTAATATAAAAAACACACAGCTTGCGCTGGAAAACAGCCGCGAAACTGTTGTGCAAGAATTACACTCATTAAAGCATTAAAAGCCCACGAGCCGAGAAACTATTTAACTTCTGTTTTTTTCTAACATGGATCCATATTTTTAGGCGCATTCACGGCATCGTTGAGCAGAAAGTTTGTGCACTGTTAAATTAAGGAGAGACGAGACAGAAAGGAAGGGTTTTGTGATTTAGAATAAGATTACAAGGCGTAATGTACCAGGATTACTCGCAATGCAGCGATATAAATCACTAGAGAGGTATATGCAGTGGTCTTCAAGACAGGCCAGTGCTACAAGGCTAACGAAAATGCGCAGTGGCAAGCCAAATTCAATTAAATTGTGTTTTTAGCAAAAGACGATGGTATCCACCTATAAGAAATATGTATTTAAAATAAGCATATCTAGCTTTAAAATCCACAAGAAGACATGACACATGAAGAAAGATGATACTTTTCCGCCATTTATTAAATTTCTAGAGCTATTTACATGTAACAAAGATAAACAGTGAAAGGTACAAGCAGAAAGAAGACAAAATACAAACATGTAAGAGGAGAAATTTACAATTCATCAGCGAGAAAACTGATCTTTGGAATGTAAAACTAATAATATATAATAATAATAATAATAAAATAAAATTAATAAAATTGAGAAAAAAAGAAAGAAAGAAAGAAAGAAAGAAAGAAAGTGAAATGTATGTGCACATGTCTATGTACCATAAAACAAAACGAGGGTGGTAATGACATAATAAAGAATAAACTAAAATATAGTGTATTTACTCATGCAATATACGCACCTTTCTCTATACACCCTGGCCACATTTAACTTAAATTTCATTTCAACTTACAAATGCTGAGATTAGCTATTGCAGATATTTGCCATTAAGTCCAAAGAACTTAAACGTATCACTTCATAAAACTAACAAAAAACAAACAAAAAGCAATTGAGGTAATTCAAATAGTACTTAGCAGTGCTCTCATTAAAATGCTTTGCGTTGTACCGGTTTTGGTTATGCATATCTAGCCGTCCAGCTTCATTTAACTTTTATATTATATTTAATACTAATACTAACTAATTAGTAATTTGCTGTTCTTAAAGTGAAATGCGCTAAACAGGCGAGTGAAACAAGTCCCTGTATTTTTAATGAGCGACAAATGGACCACACGCACAATAAACCCTCAGTCCCATTGGCATTGCATTCGAAATGCAAATAGCAAATGCAAAATAACCTAATTGCTACAAAATACAAAACTTCATATCAGTTGAAAAACACTCGGCTAGTTATTTATAAGCCAGGGGAATAAAGGGAGTTCGAAAAGGCTTCTTGACAAAACAGAGCGACTCATTTATTAAGCACAACGCTAGACGTCGAGGTAATGGGCAGGCCTACGGTTCATCCTTTGTACCACAGAGTAAACATGACAAATGGGGCCGAGTTTGGCGTGATTAAAGATGAAACACGGATCCATCTTCACCAAATCTGAAAGCTATCTGCCGCCTTTCTGTGCTTATGGAGGGGGCGAGTGAGCAGGAGAGGCGTGCGGGATAAAAATGGGAACCAGACTGGGAAGGCAACCCATACATAGTAGCATTTGAGTTCGAGTCTTCACCCATTTTTAGTGTTAAAAAGATGAACAATTTCTTTGCTCCTTTCCCCCACATCTTCCTCCTATTTTATCCCTGTAATTAGAGTGCAGGGGAGAGTTGGGAGACACAACGCGGGTAAAATCCACGTTCTACACTCCAGAAAATTTGATTTTATAATTGTACGTGTTTTGGGCAACAGTGGAGGGCTATAGACTTGGCGGAGGTCCGCTTGCTCGGTTCTGATTGCTTCCCAGTGTCGGGCTGCTGCTTGAATTAGTGTTGGCAGAGCTGCTGCGTATTTTGGTGTTGGGAAGCTTATGGTCCTTCTTCCACTTCATGCGCCGGTTCTGAAACCAAATCTTAATCTGTCGTTCGGATAGGCATAGTGTATGGGCAATCTCCACCCTCCGTCTGCGAGTCAGATAGCGGTTGTAATGGAACTCTTTCTCCAATTCCAAGACTTGCTGCCGCGTGTAGGCTGTGCGTGAGCGCTTGGGTTCACCCCCTGAGTAGTTCGGGTTCACTGTTGGGATACAGAGAGCGACACGTTACAAAAAATATAACACAATCACACACAGCCACACACGCACACACACACGTACGTAGATATGTACACTCCAGTTCATGAACAATCAGATGCACAAACACTATAATAATAGCCTATAATGTAATAAATGTATTTAAACATGAAAAAAATATATCCGTCTATCTCGTATTTGCAAGTATACAATGTGACTGTTTAAAGGTTCGGTTATGCAAAAATGGCAAACAAAACAAAAAAGTGGCCATTGTCTATGATAAGCAATGGCATATTGTCGGGACAGTGACACTAATTTCCAGACTTTATTGCTCAGAATAAGTCAGTAATAGCAGCACAAGATAAAACAATAGGGATATTATATTTTTGCATAAGAATTCATACTATGAGGTATGAATTCACTACGAGGGAACAGCATACTCTATAGTTGGCTATGGGCGACTAATGTTAAGCCGTGATTTTGCAAACACGGAGTTTGCCCTCTTTTCAGCGCACACCATGGCAGCTCTATGAATACACGCACTAGGCTAATTATCGCGGAATAATAGTTTATAAAAGAGTCCAACTGTTTGTATTGCCATTAACGTTTTATTGTCGTCCTCATAACTATTAAATTTTTAGCTCCCATAAAACTTTTTTTTATTAACGATAGTTAAGTGACAGTGTAAAGAACACATTGATCCGTCCAGTCACTTAAAATCAAATTACTAAAACATAAAACTTAACTTATGGATTACATGAGAACTCATAAACCTCTTCTCGGGAAGAAATTAGAACGAGAAAGTTGCATAGACCCCGAAAGAGCTTAAAGAAGGAGTGCAATAAAAATTTATGGAGGGTGTAATTATATTGCCCTGCAAACAGACGATCGTAAATCTCGACCAAGGGCAACTTCATAAGGGGAGCAATAGATTTAACGCCGGACATTAGGCTTTCTAAAGTGGCTGAGCTGTCTGCGCACGGAAACACTAGTAAGAGAAGTTTAGCTGCACTTACCGATGTTTACGTGGACTTTTTTCATCCAGGGGTATACCACGGGATCTTTTCTTGAAGTGACCGTTGAAGTGTTTTGGCTAGTGGGAGTCTGACCGCAGGCAGGCGGGGGGCTCGGAGTTACCGAGTCGCAGTGATGGCTTGGTTCAGGGAGAGGGGTCGAGAGTGCGGTTGTGGGTAGAACGTGACCTCGCGGAGAGATGACCGCAGCAGGCTGCCCCGAACCCTGGCACAATGAGTAGGGTGGGTCGGCGCAGCCCGACCGCTGGTGGTAGATCGACTCATGCTGGAACGAGGGGTCTTGTCTCTGGGCGCTGTAGTAGTCCGGAGAGTGACTGGGTAGGTAGTCGCTCTGGGAATATTCCTCGCAGGGTGGAAACTTGGGGTCCACATAGTTGGAGTTGATCAAATAGGAACTCATGGCCATTAATTTCTTTGAATTGCACACAAAATATACTAAAATTTATATGTATCCCTTTACTCGTTTTCCTGTTTCGTAGAACCCTCCTACTTTCTGTCAAGTGAACAAAGTTAAGGGTCCATGTGACATCGTCAGCCAATGGCGTGGATCTTCGCGATTCCCGGATAAGGAAATGGGATTAGTCAGTTTAGACCGTGCTCATCAACTCGCATTTCGGAATAGTCCAAAATTCCATACTCTCTCATACGTTGCTATGCGCTGGATGAGACAGTGCGTAAATCAAAACAATAGCAAGCGAAAGTAGACACGGCGAAAAGGCATGCTGGATTCTAGCAGCCCCACAGAAAGTCACGCCCCCAGTCCCTCTCAGTTCATCTGCACATTGAGAACATGACTACACCTCTATAAAGAGCTGTTTCAGATTTGGCGAACAGAAATCCTGCTTAATTTTGGCCAGTGTTCATGAAAAGCGGTACCAGGGGAAAGTGATGCAAGAAGCTCGCCTTGGCCAAGCTCTTAAATGCACTCGCTAATAACGGTGAGAGAATGGTCTTGGCGTGAGCAGCGTGTCAGAGATGAATCTGGGCTTGTTTAAGATCGATAGAAAATTCATCAACTAATTCAGGTTACAAAGCCTCCTAAATCACAAAGGAGACCTTCTGCATTTAAACGGTGTCTGCAGTCATTCCACTCCAAACAGCGCGTTTATCCTGTATGCCAAATCTACACACACTGAATAGTAATATATGTGCTCACTTCACTATTAACACCAGCAGCAAATATTTCTCGCTGTTTACTGATAATAATGTTTAAAAATCACCGCATTCAGATAATCATTAATCAGTGCAAAACTGTACAAATTATTTTTTTTGCTAATTTCGAATTCTTTTTCTAATTTTTAATTCTTTAAAAGTCTCACAAAATATGTGTGACATCATGAGCGCACTTCAGTTCTACACCACAATTTACAGAACAAAAATAGTTGTTCTACAACCAAACAGTCATTAAAATCAAACCGAAAGTTATTGTGTCATCTTCTTTGCCCGTTGAAGTTGAAATGTAGCCTATACATCAACTACATACTCCCCTAGATACGAATTTGTGACTGTGCGTCTGTTTACACAAATCCGGATCTACAGGGTATATATAGATGACAGGTATCTTCTTGACAGGTATTGAGAGAGCCTGTTGGCTCACCTTGACAGTGCCTTCCCAGTGTCAAGTGTTGCACCTGGAACAGTCTGCCTCCAAGGATATTAGCAATCTGTCTCGCCACTTAATGGATCGGTGCTTCCTTTATAAACTTTGCTAATGGTTTGTGGTAAACACTGGAGTTTTTCTTGTACATTTCTCCCTCTACATAGCCTATAAACTAAACACAACCTCATAGCGGAAAATGGAATTTTCCTACCCTCGAACTCAATCAAACTCTTCGTCTCTTCAATATATACTGAACGGTCAATGCACACACCTTTTGTCGTCTTGGTGTGCTAATTTTCTGTCAAAAGGTTTAAAATCCGAAAGGAAAAAATAGATTATCGTTGGAAATTTATAAAACATACAATTACAGGGTAATTAGTTAGTTCATTAGTTTACTTATACAACTATACAATATCTATTCACGCCACACATGAATTTTAAAATAATTGATTAGGATCTAACATACAAAGCGCGTATAGGCCAGCAAGTAAATGCGACTGCGACAGATCTCAACAAAGGTTAAAGCAAGCTGAAGCAGCCACTGGAATAAAACATGTGGGTTTTATGGCAGGTCAGCTCTGTTTGTTGCCGGCAAACACCAGTCAAACGGCGAATAAATAGCGAAGTGAGAGGGTATAAAACAATAAAATATGCACATAGGGCAATACCAATAGTGCTCTAACCCCCTGACACCGAGCAAACATTTTATGACTCCTTAAACAAGCGTTTCTCTCACAAAACACTCGGTCACTCATTTCATGAAAAACGCTCTGAAATAAAGAACTTCTTAATTCATTCTAAGGAGTTTCTCTTTGTTTTGGGGATGCACCGATATTTCAAGGCTGGATTTTAGATGTACAGAAAAGGTAAGATTTCCTTATTTAATTCTACAGTAGAAGTAAGGAAAATGGGGAAAGTGGAAAAAAAAAACGAAAACGCATTAATTTTTCGATACTGCAGTTTACTTGCTATTTAAAATCATCGACCGTATCCGATTTATTACAGCAGCAAGCAGTATGTTACGTCAGTAATTCTACACAAAAATGAGGGATAAACATACAGTTGTTTGTAACTACATATTGCTCCGTTTCCTAAATTTCATACCTTAACGAAAATAAAGTTGTACTAGAAACAAGTTACTAGAGTTACTAGTTATCTAGTAAAAAAAAGTCACTAAATAAACATCGTAAAATTAATATTGTGTCCAACGAAATTTTCGTTGCGTACCAAAATATTTCAAATGAACAAGCACCATTTCACAACACATCGTAATATTCGCTATAATTTTCCATCAAGCACTAAAACAATGCCAAACAGCCAACAATTTAAATGAATATTTTCGATTTTTACATGGTATGTACATTTAAAATAAGGATTCAGTAAATGTCAAAATGTTGTAATGATATTGGAATTATATATATATATATATATATATATATATATATAGTTTACACATTTAAATCTGGAGGGTTTCTGGAGAGCCTTTGTTCTTCTGCGGCACAGGCAAAAAAAATGTACTAAAGATTATAAAGTGACTCCAGAGGATACACGAATGAAATGTATTAATACTTGTATCAATATAATATCGAATAGTATCGAAATATTCTCAAACGAAGGAAAATCTTTTTTCATTCACTGAGCAGTTTGAATGTGTATAAAAAAAATTTATCATATCAAAGAAATCTGTAGCACCCCTAGCGTTTGGCAGTCAAAGCTCTGGCAATTTTTCAAATGGGCCTCTGCCATTTTCAGTCATTTTTTCAACTTGTCTGACTCTTTTCTTCTCTCTCAATTCATTTTGATTTCTGCTCGGTAATAATCGTGCCGACCTTCTCGCACTGAAGCACGTTAGCATCCATGTCCGAATTGAAAACATGAAAACGGCTAATAATTTAATGTTTAGATGGCTCAGCTTTTACTTCGCATGTAACCTATACACCTTATTTCACATTTTATCGATGCAAATGTAACAGCAAAGGAGAAAGTTCAGCCTTGGTGTCCACTCTAACCCTTTCACCCCCTGAAGTCCCCGACCTCGCCTTCACCCCCGTGAGCCATCTCTTTCTAAGAGCCATGGGGACCTCGAGCCATCTGCCTCATTATGGGGTTAATGTGTACACCGACAGGCATTCAAAGCCGCGGCTCAGAGACTATAGCCAAGGTAAATATTCACCATATAAAACCCACACACGCAACAGTGCTACTCCGTGGGGCTTGAATTCAAAGTCATAACTCCGTTATGATAGGAGGGGGAACCCATACTCTCGCCACAGTGTGCGCGAGCACGTGGTCCGCCCAAGCAAACACCTGCAGAAGAGAGCGCGGCGATATGCAAATGAAGCGCCTTTTTCTTTACTTACTTTTTTGACTCTGAGCGTTGCACCTCTCATTTCGGTAGTCTTTCGCCCATATCTTCTCTCCTTTGCCGTACGCGGTCTTTACAAACCGTTCCTGTGAGTCCCTCCGTCTGAACCCCCCCTCACTCCTTTCTCCAAAGCCACAGGTTTAGCCCGTGACCTCGCCGTGATACCGTTGTGTGCTCAACTCCCTCTCATTTCCGTGGGTCCCCTCGAGCTCCTCTTTAACATCAAGCGACGATAACAGAAAGGCGGACATTAAAACATCGAAGAAAATCTTCAACCGACTCAAGAGCTCAGAAAAAGCAGTAATAAGAAAAAAAGCACCGAGCCACCAACTTCGACACCAGGAGTCATCGCGCCGTATTTTTCGTTTTGACGCTTTATCTTGCTGGCAACAACAAGGGGCTTTCCCCACACAACGCAGCCTTCTCTGTCCTAAAACCACTAAAAATAAAATGCACGTTAGCCTCGAGCCGCTGTGAGCTCTACAATACCACTGGGCGATATAAGGCATTTTGTTGTGGACTCTCAAGTTTTCATATTAATCTCGCACTTTGGCAGTCTTTGTTAAACAGCGAGGCGTGTCACGAGTCCCAGTACATTTTAATATTTGTTAGACGCGCTGACCTCCGGTTCACCCCTTCTCTGGGTCTCTCCCACTCTAAAGTTCTATAGTAATGTATGCATAGTTTACTCGCTCATATTGAATTGTGCCCAGGTCATTACTTTGAAGAAAAATGGCTTGAGAAAGGGGGTCATTCAAAAAGGCTTTATAACCCACAAATCAATTCAACCATAGAGCAATTCTTTATTTTCCTAGTTGTATTCAGAACACTAAAGGAGATATTCAGGGAGTAGCTAAAAGTCCAGACTATAAAAACGACTGTTTATTACACACACTGCTAAATATTCATTTAGAAGCGAGAACTACATCTATGCAATTTACAAGATGTTAAAAGTTCGTTCATTCGTTAACTAAAAATAACCTAATATAAAATATTTTTTTGTGTGTGTGAAAAATTAAAACACGTTGTGTGTTAATCTGCTCAAAGGGTAACGCCAAATGCCTCCTTGATAAAACGATCCACATTTAAAAAAAATAAATGATGTAGGATAAATCATTTATGTATATATTTGTTTAGAATTATATTTAAAGATATTTCTAAAGCACTAGATATTGCGCAGAAACTGTTAAGGGGCTATAACAATATTTTAAATATTTTAAAAAGCTATCTATAGGCCTATATATATATGAAGATTTCAGATGCAAAAGCATAAGTGCCGTCTGAAATTTTCTTCTAAAAATAGCATGTATATATATATATATATATATATATATATATATATATATATATATATTGAGGGATATATATATATATATATATATATATATATATATATATATATAATGAGGGTACAACACTGCCCAGCAACGGCACATGCTAGGATGGAATGGAAATTAATTCAGTGAACTCTAGCTGAACTCCAAATGGG